TTACTACGGCTTCCATTGTTGTTCCTACTCTGGAACTGTTGACCCTCTTGGTATTTTGATGATTGACAAACAAACAAGCTTTGACTAACGATGTTTGATAGTCTTTGGTAGAATGAAAAGATTCAGGCAATAACAAATTTATTCCGGAGTAGGAGCAACAAATTTGGAAGTTGTGACATTCGTAGGCAAGCTTTCAAGTAGAATAAGACAATCACAATCCTTAGTAAGTCACTGTAAGCACTACAAGGTTTTATGTGCAGAGGGAACTCAGTAAGGAACTTAGTCTTCTGAAAGGAACTTAGTGTTTTATTCAGAAAAGTTTGAACGTAAGTTTTTAAATCAACTTCATTCCTTAATTGTAGGATATAATAAGATCAGTTTTAAAAAGATATTTTGTAAATAAATAAAGGATAAATAATTAATTAATTTAAAAGATAAGTTTGTTGTTTTAAATTAAATAATTATTTAGAGTCTTTATCTTTAAATAAATATTTTTTTAATAAATAAAAAAAATGATTTTGTATTTGACCAAGTAAATCGGTTAGGGAAGTGCGTTGAAGCTTCAGAGAAAAGTCAGGGAAACCATAACCCCTCACTCCCTCAACGTTACTCTGATTCTTTCAGTTATAGTATACGTGAGATCATGGGAGGAGTGGGAACACGGTCGAGGCTTCTCAAATCTCTCTATAAAAGCATGCAACGAAGTTCTGATTTGAGGGTGGAGCAACAAAGTAAAACATTCAGTTCATAGAGTCTAAAGTTTCCAAAGAGCTTTCACGTTTTAAACATAAGAGTGATGAGTTCCTTCCTGCTTTAATCCTTTTTAAGTGAATCAGGAAATCTTAATTGTTAGGATTTTGAGAGTGGAAGAGGGTTGCAATAATTCCTTTTCATATTTCTCTGCTGTTGCTGGTTCGGCATTTGAGTAAGACCATTCTAATGAGAGCTCATGAAGCTTCTAGTCCTTTAAAAATGTTGTATCCTCCGGTAATACATGCACCTCACAATCTTTTTGATAATCCTTAGCTTCCCGGTAACATGAGCAAAGCAAGCCAGTGCATCTAACCCATTATTATATCCCACGATGAAGACATCTAAGGTTTGTAGCTCTGTTAATCCCCAATCTAGGTGGCAGATCAATCAATCTATCTCCAACATACAAATGCTTCGTTCAAACGTCTCAATTTATGAAAGCTACCTGGTAGCTCTTGAACGTTGGAGTGTCGAAGGTCTAAAATTCACAATCAGGAAGAGATTAATGGAGACACCAAACTTGAATTACCTCAAGTTTGGAAATCAGAAGATTTCTAAAATCTATTATGGCTGAATCCAAAGCTGGCAAGGCTACGATTTCACATGATCTACTAGTAGGTAACAAAAGGAGAGCTGAGACTTCAGCTCCATGGACCTTTCAGCCATATTGGATCCCTCCAACATTAGTCAACAGTCATGCTAAGATGTTCTATTACTCTAGGATTTTCCTCTGTAGTGTTTTCTATCAAATGGTAATGATCTCGTGCCAAATGCTTAGCCATTTCATGCACTAAAACCTGGAGCTTGTAATAGACTACGACACCATTTTCTTCTCTTTTACAACTTTCAATTAAATTTTCATCATTTTGAAGAAGTGTCTTAAACAGTTGTACCTTGGTATCTTTCAGTGGTTCAGTATACTACTTTTGAGCATCCCAAAACTGATAAATTTCTACCTTGCTAAATTTGCAATCAGGTGGAAACAAGGAATGGTAATCTAATAGTTTTGGTAGTTGCATCAACTGATTCAGAATTGAAAGAATATGATTTCCAGGATTTGGTATGTTGAGTACAGCTTCATTGAAATACATACTTCCATTTGGAAGGTGGTTGGGAAGAAAGAATAGAGGCTATGATTTTTATGATAGGGAGAATATTGGTACACTTATTAAATATTTCAACAGCAATGTTGTTTAGATGGGGATTTCTGTCCTCTTCTGCTAATTTTCTAAATGCTATGCCTTCAAAGAAAACTAGAGAGTCGTCTTATTGCTGCTCTAGCAGTCTCAGTTGATAGGGCGTGCCTTAAGCCAGCGGGAGCTGGGACAGTTTGTGGGTTCTAGAGACATGGATCTGGAGGTGACTATAACTTTTGTTCCAAGTTTACATTTAGCAAAAGCAGATAACAAGGGCTCTAATAAGTCAAAGCAGTTCTCAACACCCTGATCTGTAAAGTCCTCTAAAACAACCAACTGACCAAGTTCTTTACATCGAAGTCCATTTCTTTTGAAAATTTATAATTTCAAATACATGAAGAAATTTATATTTCCTATATTTTCCAACATCAAACCAAATGGCACCTCAAATTTTCTAGTCGTGATCAGGATCTCCACTACAGATACGTAGAAGCACAAATGTGGCAAGGTAACAAGCATGAGTTAAGGTTTAGTATTAGTCTTATCAGTAGATTTTGGTTGATCCGTTTGGATTTTCTGAATACAGAGAGCTATGTTATTCAACAAGGGAAAAAACACAAGTGAGAAAACAGCTGTTGTATAAATGCTTGCAATTGTGTTGTTCTCAAACTATAACTACGTCTGACAAGTCATTGCTTCTAAACAGTGGAGTTGTGGACTACATTTTTATTTTACTAATTTCCCCTTCAGTTGGAAATGTATTTTTTACGGCAAAAACTTATATGAAAAAGAAACTGGATTAATCATCATTCAATTAGGTCATCCTTACAATGCTAGGTGCGATAAATTTTACCCTAGAGGAAATCTGATTGCGATAAATTTCACCTAGAGGAAATCTGATTGAGGTTTTTAACTATTGCGATAAATTTCACCAAGAGGAAATCCGATTGAGGTTTTTAACTAATGCAGACACATGTTAGGGGTGAGATCAAAGGGGTTCAGGAAGCATATGCACAGAAATGATGTGAAAAAATACCATGAAAAATGGAGTATCCAGGTTTTATTATATAGAAATAATGCTATTTACTCTTAAGAGGCTTAAATCAACCAAAGTAGAATTTATTTTGTGCAAAATTTCAAGTATTAAGATGGCTTCAGGTTATTCTTGATATTCATTCTTTAAATAATGCTTGTTCATTTACGCAGTGGCAGGGCTGGGCCGGTGTAAGGTGGGCAATAGCTCAGGGCCAAAAAAAAAAGCCCAAAAATTAGTATATATATAAATTTTTTTTTCACTAATAATTACAAAAAAACACAAGTTGGATCAATGGTTATGTACTATAGAATAATACTTAAAGTTAATTAAATCAGAAGAAATGCAAACAGAACTTTAAGTGAATTGGCGAAATTTTTAACGAAAAGGTAGAAGCCATCAACCGTATCTTAACATAATTTTTTTTTTTTTTTTTTTTTTTTTTTTTTTTTTTTTTGGGATCTAGGACTGGTGCCATTAACTGCTTTGTATATAAAATTCCAATAAGTCCAATTAGTTTATTTATTTTTGGAGCCAGGACCGGCGGATATTTCAGAATTAGGGCTGGTGAGTGCACAACGGAAGCAAATTAAAGACGTAGAGATTGATAAAATTATTAGCAGAAATATAAAGGCAAGATAAGTAGAAAATAATTAGACACACAATATTTAACATGGGAAAAATCATAAAAAAAAAACCCATGAACAATGAGCACCGAAAAAATAAGATTAGTGGATTTAGAGTAGAGAAAGTATATTGGTAGAGAATTATAAGGAGGTGAAAGACTTATGTGTATAGTATGACTTCTAGTGTGTATGTATATTGATTGAATGCCAATGACATATATTTATAGTTGTGGATGGAGCATGGAAGAAATGGTCAGAAGATTCTAGAAATTTCTTCATCATTCTTGTATACACGATGTTCTAGAAAATTCATGAACCATATTTCTAGTTACTTCCAATGTCAAGAATTCTCTAGATCATTTTAGTGGCTTGCATGATATAAGCTAGTAGAGAAATCAGTAGAAAATTGAGGAGCAATACCAACCATGCTACATGTATTCAAAAGCTTCTAAAACATGAACAAACACTCCATCAAAATAATGGGCCTATTAAAATTTGGGTCACACCCAACATAAGTTTTTTGTCCCAGTTCATGTATATTTGAGTGCTGCTTTTTCCAGGAACTTTTTTACTGCAACATGACACATTTTTCGTTCGAACCATCCTAATTAGGAGGAAGGATTTAAGAGCATCCATTTTGAAAATTGAACTAAACTAAGTTGATCCGTCCTAAGTGGGGTCTTCTTAGATCCGTAATAATGTATATTTTTTTAATACTCCGTATGAAATTTTCATAATTTTTTCATTACGAGATTATAGATATTTCACGATAAAAATCCGCATATAAAACAATAAAGTGTGTCAGAACTTATTTTTTCTGATTTGATTTGGTCTAAACTTATTTTTTTTGATATAATCTGATCTGATCTGAATTGAACTTATATTTTCTGAATATAAGTAAAAATAAGTTGAACTAAACATGACCTTGTTACTCCTTATCAAGTTTATATATAATGCTACCAAGTGTACGATCGAACCTCTAATAGTTCTATCAATCATTGATTTTATATCGCCCTTTTAAAGTTTTTCTAAAAAAAATAAAAAAGAATGGAGGGGTATTATTGGTAGTCCCCTTCCTTTATATAATAGAGATTGGCAATGCTATCCGAGAAATACTACAAGAGTTGGCATAAATTGTAAGCACCTTGATGTCGCTTAAGGGAGGTCTCGAGTTCGAGCCTCACCGTATGTAGAATTTCTTGTTAGGAGACTTATCCAACATAAGCCAGTGTGGATCCGGATTTAGGTGAGTGGTGTGAGCATCCTAAAAAAAAAAAGGCAGGCACTGTATTTGAATTCCTAATAACATGACAAATAATTACACCTGAAGAAATACGTGAATTCCCTATGGCATATGATTCAACAGGTTGAAAAATTAGCTAGGCAACAGATAAAAAAAATAACTTTATTTACCAATTTTTTCATTCATCCCAGATGAACATTAGGATTGTATTAAATTAGAATCCAATCTTCGCCATCTGGTTGCTGACATCTCCTCTCTAAGTTCACACATTCCTTAATCTCAAGTCGTTGCAAAGATGTGAGGTCAGAAAAATACTTTGGAACTTGTTTCAACTTTGGACAATATTGAATCTCAACATGCTCTAAAGCAGATAGGGAAGCCATTGATTCAGGAAGATCAGCTATTGTTTGGCAAATATTGAATGACAAGCTGGCGAAGCTGATTGAGGTGTCCAATTGACTCTGGTAGATTTCTGAGATTATAAAGCCAACTGAGAGAGAGTTCCTGAAGTGTTGTGAGGCACTCAAAGCCCATTGGCAGGGGTTCTGGTATTGACATATCTGACACTTTCAAAGAGAGCAGAGATTCTGGAGTACTGGAACTACTGGTGAAGCTGATGAAGATACTGAAGATGCTTGGGCACCGAAAAGATGTAGCAGGAGATCCCCATGGCAGTTACTTGCCTCCAGAGACTGAAGGTTTGGCATCTGAGGCATTGATTTCAGTTCTGAGCAACCACTTACTCTAAGATTATAAAGGTGAGGGAGAATTAAGCATGATACATATTGATGATTATCGTGTTTATCTTGTTCACGATTTGCATCATGCTCTTCCACCCTTGTCCATCCTTTTAGTTGTGGCAAATTAACCAAACTCAGATGCTGTAAAGATGGGAAGTATGGTGTTTCAGATGAAACCATTCTATTATTATCACCAGTCTCTATCCACTCCAAGGCAATAAGCCCCCAAAGCTCAAGAGACTTAAGACAGCTACTTTCACTGAAGAATGGAAGATGTTTGCATCGGCTACAATCAGCTATGTGTATGAAAACAAGATTACTGAGCAGAGAAGAGAACTGATTCATCGCCCATTTTGGAAACCTCTCACCCTTCCAGTTTTTAGCTGTTAAAAATTTGAGAGTGGAAGGGAGCTGGAACAATTCCATCTGCATGTCATCTTCCTTCTGATATGTTCCAGCAGCTGCTTCTACATTTGAATGTGGCCATTCTAATGAGAGCTCGTGAAGCTTCCTACCCTTTAAAAATGGCGTGCCTTTTCGTATCACATGCTCCTCATGACCGTTCTGATAACAAATTTTAAGCTTTCCAGCAAGCTGAGTGAGGTGGGCTAGTGCATCCAACCCATTGTTATTTCCTACGATGAAGGCATCTAAGCTTTGTAGCTCTGTTAATTCCCCAAACCTAGGCGGAAGATCAATTAATATATCTCCAATATACAAGTGCTTCAAATGACACAGCTTATGAAAGCCTACTGGTAGCTCTCGAACCCTTGAATGTCGAAGGTCCAAAGTTTGCAAGAAGTCGAGGTTTGAGATGCACTCAGGAAGAGTTTCAGAGGAGAAACCAAGTCTGAGGTATCTCAAGTGTTGTAGCTCGCCTATGGAATTCAAACAATGTTTACAATTCACCACGGCTAAATCCAAAGCTTGCAAACCCTTGTTATTCTCCAGCATTAAACTCAAGTTAGGAATAGTAATAAACTCACATGATTTCCTAGGAAGGAAAAAGAGAGAGTTCAGATGTCTGGCATCATTAATCCAGAGTGGTGGTTTCCAATATGAGTTAACAATAAAGCTCATATGCTGAATTCTGCATGATCAACTTCCTCAGTAGGATTTTCAATTAAACGATAGTTGCCTCATGTGTCGTGTCAAATACTTCGCTACCTCATGTACTAAAACCCGGACCTTGTAGTAGATTATGAGACCATTTTTATCTCTTCTGCAACTATCAAATAAATTTTTGTTTCCAAGAAGGGCCTCAATCACTTCTTTGAAAGGCTCTGTGAACTTCTGTTGAGCATCCCAAAGCTGGTAAAATTCTACGTTGTTGAATTCGTAATCAAGTGGAAACAGCAAAATGAAATACAAGTACTGTGAATTGATAAAATTTGCTTTGCAAGATCGTGTACATTGTGAACAACTTCACTGAAGTACTGCCACTTTGAAAGAGGTTGAGAAGAAAGAATAAGAGCCACAATTCTTATGACATGGGGATTATTGTTACACCTCTTAAGAATTTCAAGAGAAATATCTCTCAAATGGGAATTTATGTCCTGTTCTCCTACTTCTCTGAATGCTATACTTTGAAAGAAAGCTAAGTAGTCGGCATGGTGGAGCGGTCTCAATAGAAAGGGTGCTCCATTAGCCAGTGGGAGTTTATGGAGGACATGAGGTTGTAGAGATGTGGAGCTGGAGGTGACTAATATTTTGGATCCGGGCATAGAATAGGCAAAAGTAGACAATAAGGGCTTTAATAAATCAAACCACTTTTCACCATCCTCATTTGAAATGTCTTCCAATACAAGCAAATACTTTTGGTAATCAAGTGATTGATGATCTATTATCCGTAAAATCTCTTTACTGCTACGAACTCCAGAAATGTCCTCCCATCTGATCCAGTCTCTATCGTCAAAAAGCATTTTGACTTCCTCATGGTGATAAAGATGGTACACCAAAGAAGTTATGCCGCAGCCGGGAATTCATGAATGATAAAAATTGAGACTCGAGAAGAATTATTTGAATCTGAGGCCAACAACAACCTAGCAATGTCCTCCATCTCTTTCGGTCTCAATATCATTTTTCCTATCTCCTTTGGTCTCAATATCTTTCTTTCATTTGTATACAAACTGTCACCGACTAACATTAAACTCTTAGAGACATCATGCAGATGATCCATATATGTATCATTTGCTCTTGAATAAGTTACATTTTTAGTTCCTACATTTAAAAAACAAAGAGTTACAACAATCGTGTACCTGCTAACTTATAATCCTAATCTATCTCAGTTTACTACATTTGCAAAAACTTTTTAGACAAAATAAATACTAGTATTAGCTAGCAGGTCATGTAATTGAATCAGCTAGTCAGTTCATGAAAAAATCAATGTAGAAACTGAAGTGTGGTATGCATACCTTCACATAACAAGAGCAGCTGGTCCTCCACATTTTTTAAGGGAACTACGATCATGTCTATGATAATGAGATCTGTGTAAGCTTCTCTGTTCATTACTCGGATTTCCTTCTGCCAACAGTCTAGCAGAGACCTAATAATACGCATGATCTTATCAAACTCATCCATTTCTATGTCCATAATTCTACCTCTACATACATCATCTCATACTAAGTAAAGAATGGCCTCTCTCCAGTGGGTTTATTCTCATGGCTTCTCAAAGCTCAATGTTGAATTTCCATTGTGAAACAGATTTTCTGCATAATCAAAAAAACAATTTTTTTAGATAGACGTACCAGAGATAGTATGAGGATGCTATATGTAACTTATTCAGAGCACTCCTTGCCTAAGTCATACTAACAGGGAAAAAACAGAAGAGCAACATGCAACATCTACTAGAGAGCCTCTATGAACTATGAGTGTAACATTACAGAGACTTATCCAGAAAAGAGGACAAACCAGTTCAAAGTAAGGCAAAAACCCATCATTGGTTTTACTTTTTTCAGCTTTTACTGATCACAATAGCATAGGAAACAAAAAAAAAAAAACACTACTGTGCTTAAGATACTCCGTTCTTGAGATCAATAAATAGGCATCACAACCAATTGGTTATTGGTGCAGTGGTGATTGGGACTGCACTTGGTAGGGAGGACTGCGTGTTCAATCCCCCGCAACAACAATTGGGAGGGGACTGGATTCTGTAAGCTAACCACCCAGAACTGAGCCCCGAATCCGGATTAGCCCAAATGGTAAACTGGGTGAAACACCAAGAAAAAAAAGAGAAAAAAAAAAAAAAAAGAAATAATAAATAAACAAACAGGCATCACAGCTAGGTTTTTTTATAACACGAGAATAGCTACATACACAAAAGCTGAGCCTATATGTGAATTCCTTTGTATCAACTTAAGTTATTTTGAGTATATAACTATATAAGCATTATTCAACAGGCTGAAACGTGATTAGTATAAGATGACACATGGAGAAACTGAGAATAATAACATAAACTCAGGTTTGCAAGTTTCACCAATAATATCTTATATTCAGATTCTTACAGTGATGACATTGAGGTTCTGCTCCTTATGTTGCAAAATATATGGATAAAAGGCAGGTAAACCTTCATTGTCACTGATTATATGCATACAGAACAGCATCAGCCTGGGAAGGACAAGGTAGAAAATGCTGAACTGCAAAGAATCTTCTTTGACCAACGATCAATTACAAATAATCATGTGATTCCAATGTTTACAGATTCAGTTTTTTACTCTTAGCATTTGATATCATCATGAAAGCCATTCAAGCAGGAGTATACAGAAGTCATTAACACAGCATCCACAAGTTCCTCCATTTGGCGAGAATATGAAAGAAGTCACAATCTAAATTACCAATAGTCTCCACAAGAACATACCCCATCCTGGAATTTATGAAACCTATTAGCATCCCGAACAATAAACACTTTCTCTAAAACCTTAGATAAACCTTTGATGAACTCATGACAATCGCCACAAACCCTCAAATTTTTGAAAACCCTAATCACTTTTGTGTTTTCTTCCTTTCCACCACACAATAGTGCCAGTCCAATTGCCAGCTTCTCGCTGTGGAGTCTCAAATTTTCCACCTTAGACTCTTCTTCAACGTCATGCAATGCAAATCTTATTTCTTGAGAATAACCCAACTCTTGTTTCAATCTCCTCTCCAATTCTTTCAACAAATCGTGGATTTTATCAGTGAGTGGATGTGTATCATCTCCTCCATAGAAGAAATGGACCTTTTTGTCTATCTCAACCCAGCTCTGGCCTGCCTCTTTCCTTAACCCCTTCTTCCTTACTGTTTCTCTAAGCTGCTGACACTCCTTCCAGTAGCCAGCATTAGCATAAAGGTTTGACATCAAAATATAATTGACTGGATTATCTCCGTCCAACTCCAAGATGACCTTTCCTATTTCTTTTCCGAGTTCCAAGTCCCCAAAAACTTTACAAGCACTCAACAATGTCTGCCACACACCTATATTTGGTTTCATTGGCATACTTTTTATGAGATTTCTAGCTTCAGAAAGCTGCCCAGCTCGACCTAGGAGATCAACCATGCAAGAATAGTGCTCCACCTCTGCCTTAATCCAACGATCATTGCACAGCATAGAAAAGTATTCTTCACATTCTTTCACCAGCCCTGAATGGCTACAAGCTGATAGGATAGCCAAGTAAGTTACCCTATCAGGCCTTACATTTTCTGACAGCATTTTATTGAAGAGAATTACTGCTTCTTTCCCTAGACCATATTTCCCATAGCCAGTGATCATAACTGTATACGAAACTCTATTTTTCACAGGCATTTCACAGTAAAATCTCTCCGCTTCTTCCATCAAACCGCATTTGTGATACAAGTCAGCAATTGAGTTACCAACTTCAGGTTCTAAACCAGAGGGTACCTTAATAATATAAGCATGAAGCTGCTTCCCTTGCTCCACGAAAGCAAAATCAGCAAAGACTCCAATTAAACCTGACAGAGTATATGAATCTATTTGTATGTTGCTCTCTCTAAGTTGTCTAAACACATCTATAGCCTCCAAAAAATAGCCCTCTTGTGCATAACCCAAAACCAGAGAAGCCCAGGAAACAACACTTCTATTTTCAATGAGATCAAATAGCTTCCGGGCCTCAACCAAGCACCCACACCTTACATACAAGTCAATAAGTGCACCTACAAGAGCTGTCTGGGCGAAAATAGGAAATCCTCTTGTGATCAAGGCAGCATGGATTTGAGTACCACCGAAAATCACCCCAATAACGCCACAAGCTTTGAGGACAGACGTAAAAGTGAACTCGTCAGGAAACATGCCCTCTTTCTGCATCTTCTGAAACAATTTAACAGAACTCTTGCCGTCGCCTTGAGAACTATACCCTGCTATAATAGTATTCCAAGCAATGAGACTCTTCACACCCATCTCATCAAAAGCTTGAACTGCATCACTAATTCTTGCACACTTTGCATACATATCAACAACAGAATTACCCACAACAGGAAACCATTGATACCCAGCTTTCGCGCAAAACCCATGAACTTGCATTCCTTTTTCAGGGATACCTAAACGACTACATGCCTTAAAACAGGCAGAGAAAGTGTATTCATTTGGTCTAACATCAGAAAAAGTCATCTCATATAAAAGGGACAATGCACCTTCAGCATTATCACCCTGATGCAAAATTCCACATATAAGAGCTGTCCAAGAAACAACATTTCTTTGAAGCATTTTATCAAACACCTTATATGCATTGTCGACACTTCGGCATTTACAGTACATATCTACAAGATCATTGCTTATAATCATATCAGACCAAAAACCCATTTTCACTACAGCTGTATGAGCCTGCTTCCCTTGTTCGAGACACAAATTCTTTGAACATTCCCTCAAAAACTTTGAAATTCTCAACTGTTCTCTCCTTAGTAAGCTTAGAGATTGGTTCATTGAAGATTATGTTATCACGTGACTAGAAATTTTGATTCAATTCGGTATCACAATTATTTACAATTGTTAGATAAACAGATAAAATTCATCACACCCAGTGAATAAAGAGAGGAAAATACAATTCAATACAAAATGATTTGATTTAGCAGAATTTTGCTGAAGCTATATGTTTTATACAGAACCACTCGAAAAAAACCAAGTCTTTTTTTTTTTTTTTTTTTTTTTTTTTTTTTGAAATTCTAATACTAAGGAGTTCACTTTTCCACGCTGCATCCTCCCTTTTAAAAATTCCACGTTGTAACTTCAAGGTCCATTTATTGACTAAACCTTGCCGTTAATCTTCCGTTACATGTTGTTGTTAGTGGGGCCCACTTTACACCTATATAATTTTTTCCTCGATTTTCGTGCTAAACAATATTTCGTGAATGGTTTTAGGGGTTATTTTAACCCTTATGAATCCAAATTGAGCTCGGATTTTGCAAAAAAATAACGTAGAAACCCCATTTTGTGAATTCGGATTTCCGTAGTTAAATTTAACATTTACAAAACGGGGCTTTTATGTTTTTTTTTTTTTTTTTGTCAAATTCAAGCTCAATTTGGTTCATTAAGCCCAAAATAGCCCCTAAAACTTTTAACGGAATATTTTTTCAACACGCAAATCGAGGAAAAAAATATTATAAAGTGCAAAGTGGGTCCCACTAACGGTGACCGTTACGGTAGGATAACGGCAAAATCACTATTGAGACATAATTGTAAGTTGAAGGTTACGGTATGTATTTTCAAAAGGAGGGGAGCACATTTTGAAAAAGTCGATACTTGAGAATTATGGGGTAGAATTTCCCTTTTTTTTGTTTTTTATTATTTATTTTTTTTATTAAAAAAGCCCTAAAAAGTTAAAACATTTCAACTCCGAGTTGATCAAAAGTCAATACTTTTTGGTCTTCTTCGTTTAAAATGATGGGATGGATTAGAGGAAGGTTTGGCTTGACCTTAATTTATATAACCATTATGTATTTATGTTACATTTTTAAAGACACAATATTAATTTAAGAATGAATAACATAATTTTGATGATAAACATACTACAAAAATACTGATTCATTCAAATTTCAGTCCACCCCAAAACCAAAGCTCAGTTATGGTTCATTTAGCTTCACTAATAATCGACAACACCAAAATTAACTTCAATAACATTAAAAAAACTCAAATTATTCACCCCATGGGCCGTGGTATGATTGGTATCTATGGGCTTCCCTCCACCAATATAAGTGAAGTTGTCACATTGGTGATTGGTCGGTTTAAAACGCAAACTTTTTACTTTTGCACCATGCTAACCTCACCATGTCTCCATAATCAATTGAGAAATAAACACCAAAAAACAAAAAAAAAACAAATCAATTGAGAAATTCCCCTTCCTTTTTAACGCAAACTCCCAATCAAATATTCTATTCAGCCCACAGTTTTCCCCCCAAATATATTCTCTAACTTAATCATAATAAACTCATAAATACCATCATGAATCATGCATAAATGAAGGCATATTCACATCTCTTCCTTATTTTGTAAGAATATTTCAATTCTACGCTTCTATTTATTCAAGAAGTACTTCCCAAATTCCCAAATCAGCTTGAATTTTTTGTAAAATAGCCCAAAAAAAATGCAGTCACTTCAGCAGAAGGCTTCCGAGTACAGTGGAATTAATACTGATGATGCTTTTGGAATTGATGACACCAATCTTTTCGAAAAATTGGGCCTTCAAACTTTCATTGATCTTTCCACCAATTTCTATACCAGGTTCTAATTCTTATTTTAGTTCATTTTTTTGGTATATTTGAGGGAAATTTGCTACTTTTTTGAGTTGGTTTATTATTATTGTTATTAATGTGTTCTTGTTGATTAATTATTCAAAAATTTTGCAACTTTGTGAATTGGGTTTTAAATTGCAACTTATTTGGTATTTTGAGAGAAATTTGCAACTTTTTTGATGTGGGGTTCTTGATTATTAATGTGTTCTTGCTCGAAAATTTGCAACTTCATTGAATTGGGAAAATTTGGCAAATTTTTTGAAATTGGTTAATGATGACAGGGTTTATGATGATGAGGAAGAATGGTTTAGGTCGATATTTGCAAATTCGAAGAAAGAGGATGCAATTCAGAATCAATATGAGTTCTTTGTTCAGAGAATGGGTGGCCCACCTCTGTTTTCTCAGAGAAGAGGTACTATTATGCCTTCCAAATTACTTGCTTTGTTCTAATTTAATCTTCACTGTCTTCATTTTAATCTATTTTGGTGTAAAGTTTTGGACTTCTTTTAATGATTTTATTTATTTATCTTGAGTAACATACAAACATACAAATTGCACAAAAATTAGCCTTGTAAAACTATTTATCTTAGTTTTGATTTCATGCTCGGATGGAGATTTCGTATCCGATGTATTTGTGGTGTGTTGAGGTTGTTCTGCAATTTGTATGGAGCTATTAGAGGAAAGTGTGAAAAAGAAAACTAGAAAAGATTTTAGACATTTTGATTGTATTAGTAATTTGTCGTTTGGTTGAACACGGAAAGTTACACTTCTTGGAAAGATTCCAAGGAATTTCGTTTCATGTTTGGCTCGATAAAGAAAGCAAGTAATTTCACTCCAATTAGCTAGGGGGATCAGGTAAGCCACTTTCTTTGTTGTGTTGGAAGTAGAAATACAGAATTCTTCCTTGGAAGAAGTTGCACGTTCTATGCTTTTGTTTAGTAAACAAATTGTGCTTTTCATATCAGTGAAATGATCGTTTTGTGTTGATTTAGTTGTCTGTATGATAGAGATGTTATTCTGCTTTCTGGTGAACAAGGTCAGGAGGCTGAGCGTCTTTATTTATTTGTTGAGAAAACTATCAAACCCTTGTTCTGACTGTTTGAAGGTGAAGCACTTGCTGAACTTTAGAAATTAAATTATAGCTTCAAAGAGTGATACAAAGAGTGATACTTTTCTAATAACTTAATAATTATATACTCCCTCTGTCTCTTAATGTTCTTGTTTTGACTTTTTTGTGATACAATCATGTCCGAAAAAGAAGAGCGTTTTAGAGGAGGGAGTATAAGTTGAAAAAATTATTGGCCAAAGTTTAACCTCAAAGTGTGAAATTGTGATCCACTCTTCTGCAAGAGTCTACTTTCTTTTAGGTGCATGCTTAATAGAAGCGGTTGTACATCTGTGATGTTTGCTGTGTTATTCTTCTTTCCTTGAAAATGCCCAGAAATCCATTTCCCTTTCCATTTGAGCCTTGTGATCTTCATCTCCCAGCGGGTTGCTACCTTGTCAAAGTGATCAATACCATTATTAGAGAAAATGGTTGAAGTAGTTAGCAAAAAGCAAACAGCACAATCAAGAAATAAGATAGTAAAAGAGACAAGAATTTGGAATGCGGGAAAGTCCTTTAAGCAAATTACTTGAAGATTATAAAACCCACCCAAAGCAAGGAGAATTGTTGTATTGATTTCAATAAGTGTCTATAAGAGTAATCACTCAATAATTTCCACTCTAAAGCACAAGGGTTATGAAACAAAAACCCTAGCTCTCAATGTGTTTCTCTCAATTTGTGGATAAATAACAAAATAACCCCAAATGGGTATTTATACCCCTGACATATCTAATCAGAGTATCAGATCAGAACTGAGTGTTAGCCTAGTAGATAAAACAGAAGCTATTGATTGTTCTGGACACCAGCAGCACGGACATGCTGCCCCTGTTTGAGTCAGTACAGAGAGCTCATAGTAAAATAGCTATAACTTTTTTGTTTCTTATCAAAATCAAGCTTATGACCGATCATTGTAAAGCTGTTGATACAAGCTTTCACCTCCAATTGAACCATCTTAAAGTTCAAAGTAGTTTGAGAGATAGGCCCAGTTGAAGTTGACCCATTCACTTCTTCTTTGCTTATCACAAGCAATTCATCCCTTAGCTTCTATGTCAAACCTCAATTGATTCTCGAGTCATATTCCAAAAATCAGATTATATTATTAATATAAAGGAACTGTGAAATCTTAGCTAGTGGATATTGTATAATTACACAGTTGCTGTACTTTGTCTAAAAAATGTTAGATTGGTTGAAAGTGTTGTGCAGGCATAGATTGCTTGACAGTTGCCACCAGACATTAGTCGTCAAAGTTCCTTGTGAAGTTCTGGAACGCAATCGAAACATTTAGACTAAAATATTCTTGGTTCCATCAACTTGTACTTCTAATTAGATATTGCACCTTTCTGTGAGTGGAACTCTGTCAGCTTAAAAAAAATTTGATCACTAATGACTGTTTTCGGGTGCAACATAATGCACAACTTTTTTAAGGACAAATCAGCATACATGCTCAATTGTTTGTCACCATACAGGGTCACTGTTTGTCGTTGTTCACTGATGTTTGGGACTCTCCTTGTGTTCTCATATTCTGATTTAGGAACCAAAATGTGTTCTCATCTTCAGGGATTCTTGTATGGAATCATGGTCTTCTACTTAAAGTTTGTTTTTTGTGTATTATTCAAGTCTTCTGGTAGCCTGGATTTGCTAAACTTAAGGCCTTTGGTTTCAGGTCATCCTGCTCTGATTGCACGTCACAGGCCATTTTCAGTGACTCACCAAGCCGCTGAAAGGTGGCTGCATCATATGCAACAAGCCCTGGACAATACTCCGGACATTGATTCTGATTCGAAAACTAAGATGATGAACTTCTTCAGGTAACATATAATTTCCTGGATGTCAAACACGCTAATTTTTTTTTCTTATAAATTTCTGATGACTTGCGTATTTCCCAGGCACACAGCTTTTTTTCTCGTTGCAGGAGATGAGTTGAAATCTCGAAACCAGCCAGTTGCATGCAAGCATGCAGCTAATAAACCTTCTGAAGAATGACATCCTGAGGAAATCATTCGCTCGATTAATATTTAATGCGAACATTCATTACGAACAGTTACTTGAGCTGCTTATTGATCAAAAGGGGCAAAAGCCTTGTAGTAATAGGAATTAGGAAAGCATGGAGTTTTTCAGCATTATACTCTCATTTGTCTTAAAACAGATGAAATTCACAAAATCTAAAGAAGGTGTGGTGATTGGTCTTCCTATGGAATTTGTAATAATTTTTTACTAGAAATTTATCATATCTAATTTCTAATACTAATGAAGTATGTGCTTTTGAAAGCAGTATTCACTATCCAGTAGAGACTACGTTCTATGCATTTGCAGCTGATGATATAATTGGTATAGTACATTTTGGTCATCTAGGACAAGACACAAGACAAAGAGTACAGTAATGCTGGCAATCTAGCATCACCCATATAAAATCTCTAGCTCATGGAGTTACTCCTATCGGTAATTGGTTTTAGGATGTATAAAGGTGGGCATGGGCCGTGCCGGCCCGCAGACGGCACGATGGTGGCACGGCCTGGCACGAGCTCGCCACAGGCACAGCATGGTGGCCTAGGCGTGGGCCGTGCTGTGAACAAAATTTTTGGAAATCGGCACGACACGGTCCCAGGCACGGTCATTTGGCCCATAGGCGCGGCACGGCCAGGCACGACCCAGCACGGCATGCGGCCAGCCAGGCACGGCCCGTGCATAACGAATTAACGGCCATAAACGGCTACTTTCTTCCAACAGCCATAAACGGCTATATTAACGGCTACTTTCAGCTTCCTAATTCTTATAAATACTTCACTTCTTCCTCCAGTTTTTTCCACAAATCATCAACTCATCTATTCTCATATCTCTTATTCTCTAATTCCTACTCTCTTATAATCTTTACTTCTCAACAAAAAAAAGGGCTACTTTCTTCCAACAGCCATAAACAGCTATATTAACGGCTACTTTCAGCTCCCTAATTCCTATAAATACTTCACTTCTTCCTCCATTTTTTTCCACAAATCATCAACTCATCTATTCTCATATCTCTTATTCTCTTAATCTCTAATTCCTACTCTCTTATAATCTTTACTTCTCAAAAAAAAAAAAAAAAAAAAAAAAAATCTCATATATTCTTTAATTCTCTAATTCTCTCAATTATAAAAATTAAAAAAAAATATATATAAGTTCGGGAAATTAATTAGCAGACAGCAATTGAAACGTCGTTGTAAGATCTAACTCAACGTTATTTTAATTTGTTGTTGTTGTTGTTGTTGTTGTTGTTGTTGTTGTTGTTATTATTATTATTATTATTATTATTATTATTATTATTATTATTATATTATTATTATTATTATATTATTATTATTATTATTATTATTATTAATGTATTATTATTGTTATAATTATTGTTTTTGTTATTATTATTGTTGTTATTATTATTGTTATTGTTATTATTATTTGTATTATTATTTATTATTGTTATTATTATTTGTATTATTATTATTGTTGATATTATAATTGTTATTATTATTAATCATGGCATCAAACCTGAACCCTTCTTCCTCCTCTAGGAAAGCCAAGTCAAAACGTACTAGTACTAGTAGGGAATCACCAAATCCAAACACTTCAATGCCCCCCAACATGCCCAATCCAAACACTTCCACCCCCTTCTTCCATCCCCAAACAATGGAAGGATTCGAATAATTTGACTATTCTCCTTGGAATATGTCTAGTTCGGGATTTCAACTAAACCAATTCTCACCTCATTTATACGGCTCACAACATGAACCTTCTTATCAAAGTACCCAATGTAGCCAAACAAATGCCACCAAGTCAAGTGAACAATCCACCCAAATTCCAAACACATTAGAATGGTGTACCGAAGAGGAACTTGTCAATACCAATTGAAAGAGTAATGTTTGGGGATATCTTCAATTAAGCAGAGATGGAACCAAAGACAAGTGTAAGACATGTAGCAAAATTTACTCGGCTGAAACCAAGGGACGGACGGGACACCTTAGTAGACATATAAAAAAATGTGGTGGTCCATCTAGTGATCCAACTCAACCCAAAAAATTTCAATTTCATCCACATGACTTCACTTACAATTATGAGAGAGATAGAGATGAACTTGAGAGAATGTTAGTAATTGGGAGAATGTTAGTACATGCCGAACAACCTTTTTTAAATCTATCCAATCTAATATAACGTGACATTTAATCTAATCACAATAATATCTATTGGTGACGTACGTGGCTCTACATTTGGTGAAAACTTGGAATGCCCCGGGCATTGCCCAAGATACCCATTTTAAATAGTGTACTTATTTATGGGCATGTTTTGTAATTTTAATAATAACAATTTTTTTTTTTTTTTTTAAATGTTAGATGCAAAAGAGGGTAGAAACACTATCTATTATTCTTTTTTTACGTTTGTTATTAATTTTTTTTTTATTTTGTAAGTTGCACTATATTCACTTGGTCTACTACGACCAATGTTTGTAAATTATACATAAAAAATATGTAATTAAGATATTGTTTATCAAAGTTCTATGTCGACATATTTTTTTACATGTAAAATCAACATATATATATATATATATATAACGAAAATCAACAGATTATATTATTGGCCTAATTGGACCATTTGTAATACGAAGTATATGGTTGGTAAATGGGCTACAACGCCTTTGTAAAACCCGTAAAGTTCTAATACCTTAATAACATTGATCTGAATTCACTTCAAGATTCTCTTATATTGTACAGTTTCTTTTGTGTCCTAATTTTAGTAGTTTTTTTTTTTACTTCTTTAATTTCATTAACAAAATCACAAACATACACAAAAATATTACAACCAAATATGAAGAATACTTGCTTCAAAAGCATTAATGGTAAATCAATGGTAGACTAAAAAAAAAATTAATGATACATGACCATATTATAATTATAATTACGTGGTTATTTGTATAAGTTTAAAATTCTATTGTTAATTGGATATTCATATTAATTATATTATGGGGGTGTGTTGCTATAAGTAAAATTCTATTGTCAATAAAAAGATAATTTTTTTCAAAAGAATTATAAATTATTTTATGTATACTTTTTTATCCTAAACTAATCTATCCAATCTTATCTAACATGCCATCTAATCTAATCACAATAATACCTATGCTATTTGTCACTTACGTGGCACGACACTTGGCAAAAAGATGGCATGGCAAAACTTATACTCCGTAATTGGCTGAATTTAACATAATTTTAAACAATGTATAGTATCAATTACATCAGTAGGTGGCCAAGGTTTTATCAGAACATAGCACCATTACTAATGGGAACATTCGGACTGTCGGAGAACTATAATTCTTGTAGAAACATGTTCTATTATTTTATTTGTTTTATTTTGTTGTTTGCTGTAATTGGTTACTTACTATCCGTTTCAGAAAAATCAACATATTAGACTTTTTTTCATTATTTATATACTCACTTCAACTATAATTTTTTACAAACAAAATAAAAATATAATTTGTCATGAAAGATATTATTATATAAGTATTAACATAAAGTTTTATAAAAAATTTATTTAATAATTTTTACTAATATTTAATGTCGTATCACTGTAGTCTATAAAATGCATGCACTAAGTGAACACTATTAACTAAATATCAACTAATTTAGACGTAGTATATAGCAATTATTGAATTATCCATCCATAGATATTAAAACTCGAAATGTACCATCCTTAATTATTTGGCCCAAATAAGTAAAATCATTCAACTTATGCAAGATATATAATTCTAGCAGAGATAAACAATTCAAATGTATTGAAGAAATACGTACGTTATAACTTCTAGCAAGAACAATAACAACAGTGTTGCTAATTTAATTCACCTAAAGATTATAATTTCCAAAAAAAATACTCAACCAATAATCAACTAACGGATCAGGAATAGTGGCATCTTGACTGCAATTCATCTTCGTTAATTCCTCTAATGAAACTCCATCTTCGTTAGTAGTTTGATCATCCAGTGACACTTGAAGGTTAGATTCCCAATCACAATTTAGATCATCATCAAAATCCAGGTTCATTAATATACTTTGTAAATCTCCATCATTGTTGTCATATCCATTGTTATTATTGATTATTATTGACGACTCCACACATGATGTACCTTCACTTATATTGTTGTTGTCGTCCATTTTTTGTGTAGGAGGGTTATTGTTGTCCAATATTTTTCTACTTTCAACATTTTTATCTTCATTGCGAACTCTCTTTCTTTGCTCTTCGCAATTGAAGCTTTCTTTCCTTTTCTTGTTCATCTCAATCAAGTCTTTCTCCACTTTCTTGTGAACGTGGCAAAATACAATATTATCAACAACCTATCATTAGAAAAATAAATCATTATTATTACGAGTTAGAACTAAATCAAATAATAATCACATAGAATATCAAGAATTAATGCTTACATTAGAATCGATATTATTGTTGTTGTTGTGGTGTGTCTTAATGTAGTAATCTTTATCCATCTTGTACTCATGCAAGATCCAAGAAACACTATCACATTCATTCTTTTTGGAGTTCTTGAACTTAAATGACCTCTTGATACCAACTTTGACCATCTTGCCCTATACAACAATTTTACATTCTTCGTATCTATCTCCATCCCAAGTTCCTCCACCGGCCACTCGTTTAACTCTTTTGTTCGACTCACTTTGCTTCTTTAAAGTCGTAAAGAAGTAGAATTCGGTTTCATCACCGGTGGATTGACGATCAAATAGTTGTTGCGGTGACATCTCACCGTAAAGATCAATATCTCTTACATACCTGTCATATGGAGGAGGCAAAACAGGTTGCCCGACGACGAGTCTTTGAGGAAGGAAGTAGGAGAATATATCGGTAATGGAAGGTTGAAAGATGAAACCCACCATTAAACGATTATTTGGGTGTGCTAGGTTTCTAAGAGCCATAATATGATATTGATGATATGAAGACGATGGAATTGAAGAAGCTAATGAGGTATTATTGATGCTTAATTCTTGACCTAATCAATACTTAGTAGCTAAATATAGGTGACTAATGATGAATTGAGATGTTAGAAAATTTTATTATGTAAGTATATATAGGCCATAGGGGTTAATGGCAGTGCAGTGTGCTATCTAAAATTTCATCTTTTCAACTCTTTTAATTAACTTTATCTTTTCCGCATTTTTACTTAAGTATGATGATAAGATAAATAATAGATACCAATATATTTACTCGTGTACAAAGTTTCAAAAAATTCAAAAAAAAAAAAAAAAATCATAGAT